GACTATTCCTTCTTCTTTCAAAAGGATAACTACTCTAGACCAGTACCCCTGATTTATACTCGAGCAATTTGGCCTATTAGTTGACCAAATCGGCCAAATCCCGATTTTTAAGCTGTGAGACTGTCTTCTCCACAGYCTGAAATCATGCAGGTCGCAGTTTCCCTTTATGGGCCAAACACCGCCTGCCCTCTTCTGCCTCTCCCAATTGCCGACAGCAGGCTCCCCCTCTTGGTAGAGTCTTCAGCCGTTGGTCAATAATAAGGAAAAAATTTGACTTATCTTGAATTTCTAATATTTTATTTAACCAATATATATATATATATATATGTACCTACATATATATATGTAAATAAGTAAAATAGAAATAAATAAAAAAATATATACATTATCTATTCCTCGAAATTTTGGGTTTTACAAATGATCAAAACACAAATCTTTGTGTATAACAAAGATTCACGAAGTAATTACATACATTTTGATCCTGATTTTAACAACCAAACACAAAATTTTGAAATTTTTTTGGATCAAACTCCTAAAAGAAAGAAGAACATGAGATGAAGACTTGAAATTCCAGAAAATTTCTTCAAAAATTCTTCAAATCTGTTGATTTCTTCTACTGATTTCTTGCATATCCAACTTTGATACCAAATGTGAGTCCACGAAATGATCAATCTTCATAAAACTCTATGTATCCATGACAATTTAAGATAAACTTGTAAGAACACTTGAGAGGCGATGAAAGGAAAAGTCAACAAGTCAAACTTCTATTCTTTACGTAAGTTTTACAATTGAGCTCATTTACAAATTACACAAAAGACAAATGTTTTATATAGGGTCAAACTAAAACCCTTCTAGTCAAAGTCAAACTCACTTATAAAGTCAAACACGATGTCTTTACAATTATAGACAAAAGTAACTTTCAAGACGAATACAATTTAACACTGAAATTCAGACCCAACAAATTTTTTTCAACAAATGATAAAATTTTGCGGTCTTTAACAGTGCCACAATTTGTTTTGTCATTCACGACAATACCACCACTTGAAATGGAATATGGATCTGCCTCTGCTTGATAGGATAAAATCATAAAATACTCCCTTATAAAAAAATTGACATGAGTTTTCTTGTTTTAGTTATAAAAGTTATCCCTCACAAAGTTCAAGTTTTCTTGTGATTTATATTGAGCAACAGAATGGTTGGGGACAGACTGAAAACAAGAAGAATACAAATGTTGACAAAAATATTCATCTGCAACACGAATGGACAAAAACTGTAACTTTGAAATCTACTACATGGGATGGTAGTTTGGGTAGACAACTGCACGATCTTGAATTCTTGATGGCACTACCTTTTCAAAATGGAGTTCTTACTAGACAACAGACCCCTTTAAAAGTTGGACACTGCACCATGGTCCAAGCTTGAAACTGAATCGACCCCTTCACGGTATTTTGTTTTTTACATGATGACGCTGCTTGCTACAATCTCCTTGTTTATTCACCTGCGAATCTGAATCTGAATCTGAAAATGATGAGTATACTGCAAAAACTCTCTTATCTGGCCTACAACAAGAGTTGTATTTTTCCTTCCTCGCCAAACGCCATCCAATTCTACATGGGATCTTCACACAAGACCATAACACGATTATTGGACAACATACACATAAACACCCACTACAGGCGAATTCAGTAACGTTGTGACAACACTTTTGTTCTTCATATGTGGACGAAGGGCAAGCAAACGAAGAAGAATGCTTTGAGTTCATCTGTTCTTGCTTTGTGTTAACTTTCGCTTCTTTCATGTTGTTGAGAATAATGGGTACTTTGTTCCTTCCTTTCCTTTTATCTTGTTGGCTTTTCACCTTTTTAGTCATTGGAATGTGATTCTTGTCAAACCCCTAATCACGTGTATCGAGATCCTGTGACGTCCACTAAATCTACTTGATTATGAGAAAAAAAGACGTACATTGAATGAGATGGTCATCCTTTATTCTCATTAAAGTATACAACACTTTTTGTTATTGTAAAGATTTAGAACAAGCATACACGATGACCACCTGTATAAATTGTAGCAATTTTCATTCAAAAGATGTCGGTGTACTTTTGCAACAACAAAAGATGACCAATTTAACACTAACTAAAAAAACAGATACAATTTTATCCACTCATACATGATTTTAAATGTCGAAAAATGACCAATATAACCCTAATAATAAAAATATGTAATTTTGAAAGATGGGAAATTTCAAAAACCTTAGGGATAATCTTGACAAAAGGAGGTTTCTTAAAAGTATGTTTGATACCATGGTGCATATAACGTTGGACCAAAACCAGGGGCACTTTATAGTGAAATAGAATAAACACCCACCAAAAGCAAAGCCATCACTTTACATCCACAATATCAGAATAATTTAGTAATTCAGTATTTTATTAAAACCGTTTGTTTTGATATTTAAACGAATCTTAATGGTTCCAACTTGTTTTTTTGATAATTCATGTGTGTGTTATGGCAATTCAAAATCATTAATTATTCAAAACATGGTTATACGGTTTTATAAACACGTCTTAAACTCAGATAAATTTTTTTAAAAAGTTGTCTCCTTCAAAAATATAGAAACAGATAAACTTTAAAAACGGGACTCTTATCTCCCTCAAGGTAAGTTGAGTTTGTTATGTTTTATGGTCCATCAACAGTTTATCGACATAAAATAGTAATTCAACAGCCGGATGCTCAAATGTGTGAGATTCAAACATGTAATTAGAATTATATGATCGATGAACTATTATTATGATTACAAGAGAAATGAGAAATGCATCTCTTAAATGATTGGTTTGCATGTGTGAATTGTGTCGCTAAAATTCGGACACAGTCTCCTTGAGCCAAACACATATGTTGTTGAGCCAAAACATTGATCTGTACTGGGCATCATTCAAATTTATAAACTCATACCGTCTTTCTGATAAAAGATGATCTTCTCGTTTTCAAATTTAATGACTATTGATTCTTAATAATTTCAATTGTACAAAATGGAAAAAGGTTGCTAGAAGTCTGTTGCCACTCGAAATATGAGTTAAAACACTCTAACCTAAAGGGGTGTCTGGGTTTTTTAGGGTTAAGGAATGAAAATGAATGGAAATGGGAATGGTTGCAGTGCTAAATGATTGGATGAATGATGTGGGAAATCAGAAAAAATGAACATGGATAGCAATTAATGCTAGACGACACTAGAAAAATCATAACTTATCAATAAGCTAAGATATGCAACTTATCAATTAATCAAATCAAAACAAGCCCAATAAATCCATATTGAATGTCACGTTTTGGGAAGATAAGATATAGGCAGACCTGATCTCAATCTCAAATAATAGAGTGGTTATTCCATGAAGACACCGAGCATGTGAAAAATGTATGAAATAAAAAAAAAGCACGTACTCTCAAATTAGAAAAATTGAAACACTTTAATTTAAAAAAAAAAACTAGATATAACTATAAGTGAGTAAAAGCAATAGAAAAGGGGCAACGAACCAATGCAACATATCAAACCTGTTAGAGATGCACAAGACCCAAGTTTTTTTCTAGGGTCTTCTAGACTCGTTTATAGTAAGCAAAACATATCAAGACAAAAAAAAATCTCAGACAAGACTTTGAGTGTGAAAATGATCCATGGGCTAGGATTTAATCAATACTTTAAAGTTTTACTTGCCATAACAGATTTTTTGGTCTGAAATGGCCCAAGCTTACTAGGACCAGGCGTTTTCGAGTCGACACTTTTTTGTGTGCATGTCTACATTTTGTTTCCAATTTCCATTCCTCACCCGTACAATCCCCAACAAGCATCTTTAAGTTAGAAGTTTGAGTTTAAAATTTTAAATTCCATGACACATGATTTTTCAGGTATATCAATAACTGGTTACGCTTTTTCATTGATCCTTGTATGAGCTAAGTTGTCTTGATCAGATAAAAATGTACCATTGTTTCTTCTTGTCTCCATGAATCAATGATCTGAATGGCAAAAATGATTGTTTTACCCCTCTGTATAAGTTAAACATTGTTAGATGAATTGATATTTATTCTTTAAAAAGAACACCAAAACATAATACCATAAACTCATTGATATCATCAAAGCATAATTAACCACCATATTACTTTTTCAATATTCGGTAAAGAAAGGTTGATAAGCATATTACGTTTTCAATATTCAACAAAGAAAGATTATGTCAACGTTCTAAAATGTTTGCTGCAAAGTCACTGGAACACACCATGGCTCAAGGTTTGTTTTTGATGCCACATTAAGCTTGTGGCATGCCATGTCTAATGCACGGTTTTTGTAGTATACTATTTGATTTTTCTTACATTTTCAATGTCTTACTTGTTAGTTTAAATAATATATATATATATATATATATATATATATATATATAAAAGCTCATTTTAAATTGTTTTACACCATTAACTTATTGAGTAATAATCTAAATACTTATATATAATATGATATACAAATTTGTCACCGTAAGTAGCACCTTAAAAAACGTCATGACTCCTAAGACTTGAGGTTTGGCATTGCCACTACACCTCGTCTCACATCATTCAGATCCATGAATTAAGTGCATGGATATTTGATGTCATGCTACCAGTGTTTTATGCATCAGTTTATAACATGAGGGGCACTGTGATCTTTTTCCGATTGGGTAGACAAGCTTAATCTATCTGATGTTAAATACAACTAGGACCGGATAAAACAAAACCAATCCAGACAAGTTGCCCTTAAATGTTGTTTAATGATTCCATATGATGGTTACCAATGACGGTAGAAGTGGTGGTGGAGCAGTGAATTTTATCATGTTCTATCATGTCCATCCCGTGTATCAAACGCAGCCTCAATCGACATTCATCCTTTGAATAATGAAGTAAAAAAGGAGCTGATATTAAGGGTTTGTTTTTTCTTAAACAAGAAATGCAATGTTATTAGCTACATTTCATATGTACAATCAAAAGATATTTCCCAGGAAGTGTTTGCAATACCTTTTTCAAGTCAAAATCCACATTTATACAAAATACATCCCCATTTGAATTTGATTAGCATCAAAAAGAGGGGCTGGGATGGGAGTAACACAAAAACCTAATTTCAAGCTCTGAAATCAACCCTGTGAATTTGGTTTCCAAGACTCTACATATCCTCAATTTCATATTTCTACTCGGTCAGGATCCCAAAAATGTTTTGATGAAAACTCTAGTTTCGATGCTAATTAATTGTTTAAGAAATCAAATCACGTAATTGCTAAACTTGAATTGTGTTACTAAGATGAAGAGCTAAGGAGATGCAGAACGAAGATGAACACGGACATGGAGATGCAGTGATGACTTGGGAGCAGCGATGAGAGGCAATGATCGGTCATTGTTGGTGAAAGGGAAAGGGTAGAAGCTGTCTTTTGGCATGGGGCTTCTTCATTAAGCCATAAAGAAACAGCCTAGTAAATCCATTGACTCATACGGAAACAGCTCCTAAGACTGACTTACACCAACCCTACTAACAACCATAACCCTTTTAATGTTAGTCAAATTCCTACAAGCCAAACACATGGTCCAAACAAAGACGGCTATTCCAATTTTTTTGAGAGGTTCTATTCCAATTCCTACCAACCAAAATGCATGGTCAAATTCCGTCAAATACATTCCAATTCCTTCAAAGTCAAATTTCTTTGATGGATTCTAATTCCACCAAATTCCATTATGTGAACCAAACGCCCCCATTCAAAATGGAATTTGGTGGAATTAGAATCCATCAAAGGAATTTGACTTTGAAGAAATTGGAATGTAATTTGACGGAATTTGTCCACGCATTTGATTAGTAGGAATTGGTATGGTATCTCTCAAAACAGTTGGAATAACCGTCTTTTTTTGGACCTCCCCACCTCCACACACCCCAAGGGATGGGCGGTGATGGAATCCAATCCTTCCTTTATGCCAAGGAATGATGAATTCAATGATTTGTGGAATTCCATCCATTTCAAGAAGTGAACCAAACGAAGGAATTGGATTTTGGTCAAAGGAATTTGTCATTCCAATTCCATCAAATTCCGTGAACCAAACGCCCCTAAGAGTAAACTACAAATCTTGAATCTGGGCTATTCACCGGTCTGTGTGTTCAGTTCATCTTCAAATTAGAAACTTCAGAGGCCAAAACAGTGATTTTAATGAAGTTCCATTCCATTCATGTCACATACTAAAAAGTATGCTCCTCAAAATATTAGTTGTACACATACTTGCCTATTCTTCAGAATCTGAATCTGAATCTGTGTCTGAATCGAACACTTCATCACTAACTTCACTTGGTTGGTCCTGTCGAAATTCATTCATCAATTCATCGTCCGACTCTTCATGCTTCCCTGCTAACTTCCTTTTCAATATTGATTCAAAAATGGTTGGTATTGCTTCAATATCACCTTTGTAAAACTTGTCTATTTGTGTTCTGAGCTCTGTCATAAAGGGGTTCACGAATTAGATATGGAATGATTCCAATCAATAAATTTGCATTTGTGTGTATGTGCATACATAAATGTAGGGGTTGGAGGCATCCAACACGACAAACCAAACCAAACCAATCGAGTCTAGTATATCCCACCCAAAGGTGGGATCTATAGGATAGGATGTATGCAAACCTGACCTCTACCCTCGTTTTGTAGAGCAAGTGTTTTACATGAAGACCCCTAGTTTGTAACAAGTGTGAGAACTGAGAAATAAATTAAAACTTTCCCTGGCATCCAACACGACAAATGGTGCTAAAAAGGAAACATCTCCAAATACAAGCCCATTGTAGGTCCACCTATTTGGTCCCATGTGTTGAATGAATACTTCTTCAAATGTTGGTTATTGTACGGGGGACCTTAAACAGTGTTACATCCATATGTAAAATGGAATATAATTCGCCTATCCCCAAATCCCATGTCCCCTTCCTTTCCGTCAATCACGTGAAAACACATTATAATAGAGAGAAAGAAAACATAAATTAAATAAATTTATATCAAATGAAGTAATTATGTCTTTGTATGATTGGTGGGACAGGGAAGCGCCATCGAATTTGGGAACAAAAGGTTTTTATTCTGTAAAAGGATAATATAATAATTATGTAGATATTTTTTGTCTCTAATATGGAAAAGGATTTTTATACTTATATTTTTGTGTATAATATGAAGTTATCACATTTTCTCTTGTGGAAGTTGTTTTTTTTAAGTTAAAAAGAGTTCATTCGACACTCCGAAGACGAAGGCAGTATAATCTTATAGCTCTAAGGTCTTTTCTACAGTCAATGACTCTTTATTGCAACCATTGTGAGGTTTGCAGAAGATCAAAAGAATAAATTAGAAAACTTGACCTGCCTAATTTCCTCACTTTATCCAACTTCTTTCCATGGTATAACAAGTATGTTCAAGGACATCCTTTTACAGATATAAGAACATCAATTGAGAACCCAAAACCCCTTTCCTCCGACTCTCTCTTAATCAAAAGATTTTAGATAACCATGAGATAAATTATCATTTCATCGCTGGCAAACATTTTTCACTTATAAGATGGTTTTTCCTCATCATCTGTAGATCCTACCATTCAAAGTGAGAATGATCGATCCTCCTATCCCTTCAATGAACAACCCCAGAAAAGAAGAAACCAGGATGAGATCAAGGCTCACTGCGCAAATTAGTATACAATGCCATCTAGGGAAAGAGAAAGCCAATTTGATGGTTAATTATCTTCCCAAGATCTGCGAAATGAAAGAACGTCCTGGGTTACCATCCTAATGAATAATGATCAAGATGTGATATGAGAGAATATAAGAGGTCCTTACCAACCTCGTTTCTCAAACAAAATTTAGAAAATTAAGTTGAGTCACTTCAGCCCCAATTGGTTTGACAAGTATAATTTGTTTGACTATAGTGTTTAAAAGGGTGCCACATTTTGTTTCATTTATTAATTATTAGTTATTCAAGGATGAAAACTAACGACATGGAGGGAGACGATTTCGTTAGAAATGGATTTAAAGGTTGGAAAATGTCAAGTAGGTCTGAAAGCATGTTGGCAAGATAAATGGTGTTTAAATCAAGCTAGGTAAAGTTTTAAAGCTCAAATAAAACCAAAAGAATCAATTCAAAGTGTTTTGCCCACAAATCTACACAAGCTAAAAGAGAGTATCAAGCTGAGTTGCTTGCTTGCCATCACCACCTAAGATTCACAACTCCAGGTCATGATGACAGTCAAAAATCAAACAATAGAAGGGACTCCACTGATCTTTTAAAGTTGTTGACCAAAAATTCAAAATAGTGAAGATGTCGATAAAGTTCTGCTGGAAAACGCTTCTAGAAACAACCAATCACACTTACCTTCCATTGAAAGAGATCTCATCAACAATTGTCCAAAAGAAACAACTAAGACCATCGTAAAAGGGCTATAAGTGAAGATGAAGTCTTCTGATACCTCTAACAAAGAGCAAATGACTTTGTGTTTCTGCAGGACACTTAATTATTAATGAAGAATGAGATGAGGGACAGAATTTACTTGGTGTTATAAATGTCATAAGTAGCACGGCTTTACCTCTTAAAAAAGCAATGCATTCTATGCTTGCAAGTTCATCTAGCATTTGTAGGCAAGATTATGATGAGGCTAGCAATAAAAGAAGGGTGAGGCTAATGGCTTCAAAAGTACGAGCATAAAATAAACGGCCTACATTCATTGTTTTACCCATCAACTTCAACTAACTGTCGTGGTTTCTAAAAGAAAGTAAGAAACATAGATTGTTGTTGATTTTTTAATACACTTGCAAATTTATCAGAGTTTCTTGTAAGAGATAAAAAATATTGAGAGAAAATCAAGCTCAAAATATGACACAAGCCTAGAAGGATGGTGAATCTAAAATGGGCAATGTTTGAACCAAGAACTCAGTTAGGGGGAGGCCGGATGATACTCGTTGGGGATCTCACTATTAGTTGATTTTGAATGTTATTGCTTTGTACTTTGTGAGGTGTTTGAAATGATTTGAGGATATTAAAAGTAGATATTGATTATGCGCCCAAGTCTTCTGACTTAGTTCTCATGGCCGAGGTTTTAAAAGGCGGAACCGGGCCTCGAGGCGTTTTACCTCAACGAGGCGAGACGTAAGCCTCGAGGCGGTCCGAGGCGTAAGCCCCGAGGCGGAAATATATATACACCAAAATATGTATATCATGGCACACTTGAAGACAACATATGGGGTAGTAAATGAATTGAAGATCGTTTTAGAACAACAAAACATATCAAAGAAATTTCTCAAGAAGAATCATGTCATTTGTGAATTTGATTAAGAAAAAATTGCACAGAATAATAAATGACTTATGGGAACTTTGTTAAATCTGATCATTCACTTTTGTGGAAAAAATGGCATTGAAGTTCCTATATGGAATACTTGTATGTTCCCCAAGAGAGAAACATGGCCTACTATGCACTACAAACCTTCATCATTTCCTAGTCGAAGTTTTGTGACAACCAACAACTCTAAGAACTCAACAATCTTTGATGATGTAAGTATGAAGTTACTCGTTTCATGTTTGTATGCTAGCTTGTGCCCTATTCATATTCTTTTTGTTGCTTTGATAAGCAAAAGTTGCTTAGACTTTCGGAATTTTATTCCAATGAGTTTTCAAATGTTGATTTGCTTCATCTGGGTGATCAACTTGACAGCTACATTTCATGAAATGAGGAAAGAAAGCAATTTATGGGATTGAAGGATCTTGGAGCCCGCTAACAAGCTCATGAAAGTAAAGAAACATGAAGTGTTTGATTTTGTTTATTTATTTATGTACTTGGTGTTGATCCTCATGGTAACAATGACTAGTATAGAAAAATCTTTTCCGCATATGACCTTTGTGGGAAATAATTTGCGCAATGATAAAAGTAATAGATTGTTAAATGCATGTTTAATCATTTATATAGAAAGATCTCTTTCCTCATCTTAACAACGATAATATTGTAAATCACATCCAGAGTATGAAAATTCGTTGAGAACAATTGTGCATTTAATTTGAATACATGTTTCAATCTCTTGATTGGATGTTATGGTGTCTTTTTAAACAATCGTTTATCGATTATTGTTATTTTGAATTGTATGATTCTGTTTATGTTGGATTTTTAAGTTTATTATGGTAGGACTATCCCAGGATCCGCCATTGCAAAAACATCCATAGAAGATGGCATAACAAAGAGTGTAATGTATATAAGAATGCAGCCCTATTTAAAAAAGAGGGAAAACTCCTAATGCAGCCCTATTTCAAAAAGAGGGAAAACTCCTAATGCAGCCCTATTGCAAAAACAGTTATAGAGAATTCTAGTTAATTGCACATATTTAATGGATGTTCTCTAAATAACAAAAGTCAAGATATTTGATACTAAAACATTTCCATCATGAAATGCAACAAGAAAAGGATAAGCATTGTCTTTTGAGAAGAAGACCTTCTATTAGTATCATCCATTCTTTTCTACAGCTGCAAATGCATCTTCTGAAGAAAGATTATATGCGTAATATCCTAGAAAGAATCTTATGGAGGGATCAGAGATATGCCTCTAATTGGATAACTCTTATTTCGTTCTAAGACGCGGGCTACTGAAAACAAACTCTATATATACAGCTAAAGCTATTAAGTTACATGACAGAGCATAAGGAGCAAATAGAAACAAATGGCGCTTTCAAATTACCTGCACTACTGACATCCTCTTCATTGGCAGTGTTCTCATTCTGAATTTCATCTTCGGAATAATAAGAATTAGGGTTTTCAGATGACGATTCGGATTTAGATGAACAATATTTACGAAAATCAAACGAGACTAATGAGTGTGTCTTGTAGTTGAAAGAGGAAGTTCTAGAGCAGATGAAATCAAGACGCCGCAACAAGAAAAATTTCTGCATAATTTGCAATTCTGTGGTGATGGGTAATGAGTAATGACGACAAAGGGTGAAGAAAGGGCTTTAAGAAGGGGGAATGTAAAAAACAAGGGTTCTTGTGTCCAACACCCGGATTATTCGAAATCCGAATCTAAACCCGAACAAAGTTATTTATGTAAAATCCGAAAGATTCGAAATCTAAAAATCGGAAAACCGATCCGATCCTTTTGGGAAAATTTGGGCTTGGATTGGGTTTGATTTTTGATCATCCGATCCGTCCGCAAACCCGAAATATATATACATAATATTTTAAATACTATATAAATATACTTATTTTATGTAACTATCTTTTTAAAATGCTAAAAATCTTAGACGGTCGTATTTTTTTTTGTAATTTCTAAACATCCTATTGATTTATCAATCCTCTAAATCGATTGAATTCATCGTCAAAATCGATTGGATATATATTTTTTGCATTATAACTAACCCCGAACCCGACCGACCTCAACCGAACCGACCAAACTGAACCCGAAGCAATCCGAAATCCAAAAATTGGGGTTTGATTTCCATATCCAAAATCCGATCGGATTTTTGATTTTCCCACCCAAATCCGCCTGACCTGCCAAGTGCACACCCCTAGGTTCTCAGACCAAAATGACCTCTTAGGAAAAAGAAAATTACAAAAATAATACGAAATTAAAATTAAAAAACCATCCTTATTCCTTTTTTCCTATCCGGGAGCGTAAAGGCTTACGATACCCTAAAATTTTTAACCAGATTGGATAGCTGTCAGTGTTTCTGACGAGATTTGATATTGATGGGCCCACCACCGATCAAGAAATTTAAAAAGTTGACACTGATATGACAGGTCATGAGGCTTACATGCCCCAAAGAGAGGACCGTGTTGCTCGACGCATAAGGGCCTACCCGGGTCCACTCTTCTCCACTTTTTTTTAATTTCCAGCGTATTTTTTTCTTCTCAATACAAAATTTTGTCTTTTTATAAATCATCCTACTATATAATCTCGATTTTTATTTATTATTATCATCGACACAAATTTTCTATCATCATTTCTTACTTTTACACTAATCATCATTTTCACCTATAAATAACTACCACCAAAAACATGTACCTGGACTTTTTTTACTGAGAGTTAGACATTGATTCTTAAGAATAAGATAAATTTTTTTTTGGTTGTAAAAATCGAATTACTAGATTTTGGTGATGGTAAATGAAACTTTTTAAACAGATAAAACTTTTCACAAACAAATTACCAAGTTACAACTTCAATTTTTTAGAAGGAAATATTTAATTAAAATTAGGAACCCAGTATATCAATTACCTAATATACATCGTATATTAAAGACGTTTTGTGAATCAAAGTGTATCATAGTGAAACATTCATAATGTTTCACGTGTATCACAATGTATTTTCTTTGTTCTATGAAATGTATCATAGTGTGTATTTTCGTTATTTTCATTGCGTTACAAATGATATCACATTGTGCATCTTGTATGTATATCTGGGTATCACAGTGTGTATCTTGTGTTCATATAAGGTTCATCGGAATAATGTTCGTCGAATAAGATTCGTCGGAGAGAGGAAAGATATGAGATGAGAGAGGATATTTATAAAATCTCTAAAATGCTCTTAATTAATATTTTAAAATAAATTAGTAAAATTATTAATTCCTAATTTAACCTTTGATTTATAGTTTAGATTAGATCTCACGATTACTACAAACAAAACAGTTCTCATTTGATCAGACAGATATATATATATATATATATATATATATATATATATATATATATATATATATATATATATATATATATATATATAGA